CTTAGAGGATGTTTTATTGAAGTACTCTATGAGCTTTTCCTTTCCGTCTGGTATTGGGATAACACACCACCAAGTCTTCATTACTAGCATCAGCATCAACGATGGAGAGTTCACTGAATCGTGGGTATGTCAAAATCGCGGCTCTAGACAGTGTAATTTTCAGATGTTCAAATGCTTTTTGGAATTCGGGTGTCCATGAACGAAGCTCCATCTTCCGTAGATCTGTATAGTGATCGAGCTGTATCGACAATGAATATTCGGTATTAGGAGCAAAGTACCAGAAAACTTCTAAGTTCTTTACGAACCTTTGGCTATGGCTATGGAAACAAAATTTTACTGTATCAGGGTCGGTCATAATTCCTTCTGATGTTATGACGACCTACATATTTTGCTTCTCTTCTAAACAAGATGCTTATCTTGGGACTTCAATTTCGCGGCTGACAATTTCTTGAAGGCTTCAGCCATGTTTCAGAAGTGGTTGTCGAAGGTTATTTCTAGTATTGTGATGCCGTCTAGGTAAGCTAAACAGATTTTCCAGTTTAATCCCTGTAATACAGTGTCCATAAGTCTTTCAAATGCAGTCGGTGCATTGAACAATTCAAAAGGCATCAGATTGAACTGCCATAGATCATTTCTAGTTGTAAAGGCAATCTTCTCTTTATCATGCGAATGCACGTTCACTTCTTGCCAGTATCTACTTTTCAAATCGAGAGTAAGGAACCATTTAGCTCCAGCTAGACTGTGTAGTGTGCCGTCGATTCGGAGTAATGGTTAGTTCTCCTTCTATGTTGCACCGTTCAGCTTCCTTTATTCCACACAAAATCTCGTGCCATCTCTCTTGCGTGCCAGCACTATAGGGGAGGCCCAAGGGATGGTTCTATCAGCCCTTGCTTATGCGTGTCTTTTATAAGGTTAATGACTTTCTCTTGTTTCGCCCAAGGAACTTTTCTAAGTGACTGTTTGCTGGGCTTTACTGTTCCAGTGTTGATATTGTGGTATTTTAAGTTGGTCCTACCGAAGTCTTGATCTGACAGGGCGAAGACGGGTTATAAAAGGCCAAGAAGTTCTGATTGCTGGACTTGGAGCTTGTTGAGATGGTTGCTTGACCATTTCACCAGCTCTGCTAAAGTTGCTGGAAGTGATGTCGATTTCATCTCTGGTTTTTCTTCTCAGACAGAATGGTGAATTTAAGCTACTGATTCAAATACTCCCAAGTTTCTGCCTTTGCAGATTATTTGCTCGAAGTCATTCAAATTAGCTATTCTAATGGGTATCGATGATGTTCCACTTCTTCTAGCGTACGTCGTCTTCTATTCTGACCCTTACAAAGCTCTCGGAGTGACTCGGTAGTACTTGATCTTCCTCTACGATCACCTTATAGGCGACAAGCTTCGTCTTGGGATTTGACAATAGTACCTCCTGTCCATCGACGCTCATTGTAGGAGTGCTAAGATTTAAGTCGATTCCAAGTTCTTGAAAAAGATCCAATCCAATGATGACATCATCTATTATGTCGGCCACCAATACCTTACAATATAAGATTACGTTTCCAATTTTAATTTCTCCGTAGATTAAATGAAGTTTCTCAGATAGCTATAGTCAAAATCAGTCTTTTTGTCAAAGGTCGAATTTGACATTCCGATGCCACATTAGATCGAACAATAATATTGGATGCCCCTGTGTACATAACCATTCTAACATGGTGCTGATTTATAGCTCCTTCTATGTATAATGAGCTAGTTCCGTCTAGTCTTGAAATGAGGACTCCCTCCGTTCCATAAAGTTGGCTGTACTTAGTTTTCCGACTGCCTGTTTTGTTTGAGAGACTCTGTCGCCTTATGTGACCCATTTTTCCACATCCAGCGTTCCGGACGACCACTATAATTCTTACAGTTTCGAACAAAATGACTACCTCTTCTACATTCCCTAAATTTTGGATTTTGTTCTCTCGCATCTGTAGCAGTGGCTTTTTTCGCAGTTATTATACATTCATTGATAAGCGACGCGATAACATCCTTTGTAGTTGTGCCATTGTCGATTTCGGCTTGTCGCACTCATACATGACTCTCAGAAGCTTGATCCGCCGCTTCAAATTCTAAGGAATAGGACAGTGCTTCAGATGGAGTCTTGTGGCATGCTAGTCTAAGGACGTGCTGTAGTTCAGTATCCATGGCTACACAGATGAATGTTTGCATAATCAGCTGGTCTATGAACTCCGTAGGAGTACGGCTTTTCAGTTGCGTCTAATATGTTGTAAATGTTTATCGCCTTGTCTTATTTCTAGACGGTTGACGATATGATGGAAGTCATGTTGTTAAAACTCGGGCATTCCTTGGTGGCTATCCAGCGCTTCTCCTCATATAGCAATTATTAGTGATGTTGCTTTCTCTGAACCAGTCCATGCTCTGGCCTCTGCCGCTGCTCCAAACTGCTACAGCTAAACAGACTATGAGATCTTTCCATAAAAAATTGGAGGTGTAATAATTATTAATGGTCTTGCACCCGACTCGTCAACTCTCGCAGTATTAGGTAATTGTAGCTTTTCAATTTCTTCTTTCATTACCTCAATTCGCGCCTTCACCATTTCATCGTTCCTTTTAGAAATCATTCTCACACTTCATTAACAGCACATGCTGACATTAGAATTCTATTGCTTCCGATAGTAATTCAGCTATTCATTCAGAATACAAAAAAACGTATTGTTTCTCAGGAGTTATTTATATGCAGTTCGAACATTTACGTACACCAAATTAATTTAAACAGTGTATTCTTTCAATTTTTCTGTCACAGTAAAAATTTTTTCCTCTATTTGACTCAACTTAATTATTAAAGCTGGGTTAAAATCCAAACACCACTACATAAATAGCAATTTTCTATAATATGATAACCTTTAGTAAAATCGGTAATAAAACATACTGAAATGTGAGCGCTCTGACTGGAGGCAGCTTTTCTGACGTCACGGAACCGGGACGTAATANATTTTATAATTTTTTATTTTGTTTCAAAAGTCAAAAGTGTTATAACATTTTATGTTCCAAATGTCCGTAGGAATCTGTGGTATAAATATTAATTACCTCAAGTTAATGAGGAAAAATTATTGCTGCTACCACTTCCTCGTCGGGAATCGAACCCGGGCCTTTAGTTTTTCACACCAGTACTCAACCAGTGAAGTACGAGAAAAATTAATTCATTTAATTTAAGCTTGCAAAAATTCAAAGTGTCTTATAGACAGAGGTCTCTTAGTTAAAATTGCAACAGAAGCTTTTAAGCGCGAAGAATGCATATAATCACACTCCATGTCAAGATCAGGCAAATTGACATCAAACAGGCCCGATACATGAACAACCTCCTACTGGTGTTGAGAAAGTCCTGCAACTGCCATTAGTTGAAAGATAAAATTATTATATACTGTTTATTGATATTGTAAACGACAATACCAAGGTAGGGTTGAAAGAGGGGTGATAGTAGAAAGGGCGCAAACTACGATGAAAACCTAATTTCCAAAAAACTATTTTCCCGAAGGAAAATTAAGAAACTGATGCCGGAACTGGATTTTGAGTGAGTGGCTATGTGGGGTTAAAAAAAAGAATCGTGGTTCTACGCCGAAAATTAACGAAGATAAGTTTAACCAAGCCAAACTATACCAAATACAATAAAAAAAATAATAAGAACGAGATCTTAAAGGAAAACGCTTCCTTAAATGTGAGTTAAAAAAATTAAACAAATAGAACAAGACGATAGAACAACAAAAAAAATTGAAAAATAATAATAAAGTTTAGTGATTACTCAAGAGACCCCAGGTAGAACGGAGTTTTAATTGTGGGTAAAACTCGTTACGCTAACGACAATTGGTATTTCTAGGTAAACCCATTCGGTCTTGTTCATCTTATACTTTGAGGAATTGATTTCGCTATGATATTGGTAACAAAGTTAAACATTTCCTACCCCTTCAAGATAGGCTTTCCGCATTTTTTGCCATTTTTTCGGCTTTTTCCATCGTAAAGAACGTCTTGTCAAGGTAATAAAGTGGAGTACTACAGTCGAACCTGAGTAAGCGAGAATTCAAGGGACCCGAATATTATTCTCACTCACAGAGTTTTCTTATTTATAGGGGTCAATAAAAATCGAACATAAACATGGTGCTAGAGCGTTAAGAAATAGGTAATACAATAGTATATACACATTTGGCTATAAATAGGTACTTATTTTATTTATTTAATGTGATCAGTTAATTTTTTCTGAGTATCCTTTTACGTCAAACGTACTTTCTCCAATGATTGTTATCAACTGAAACCAACTGTTAAGGATGAGTACCATGAGCAGGTAGAAACAAGCGCACAAGTCTGCTGCAGATCTCTAGTAATTGTAAATAGTCTCGCTTGCAGAGGTCTAGAGTAAGAAACTGTCACTCACAGAGGTCTAGAAGTGAAAGATGACTCTTTCTAAAAGAGGTACTTACACTGTCACTAATTGATGTTTTCCGGGGCTAAAAATGACGGGACCTGACTATTTTTGTCGCTTATACAGTTTTCTCACTTATCCAGTTTTAGCTTATCTAGATTCAACTGTAGCTGGTTACTTTTAATAAATAAGGTATTAACTAACCGCTACATTTCCACCGAAGTCGAATTAAATCGTATTAACCCATTAAGATATCGACATCCACTTTCGAACGCAAGAACACTGTGATAGATAACTCAGCATGACTCGGCTACGATGAAAACTAAGCTAAGCCGTTACACCTTATTTCCTTATCTTTCCCTAATGGTTATCAATGAAATGATTTACTCAGAACACGTTCCGGCAACAAACAGTATTTATTGGCCGAGTTCTAAGTACCTTTTATATTCAATTTTTCATTAAGTAAAAAATAGAAATAAATATTTAAAGAAAGTCATACGAAAAAGAGGAAATGAAAATAAGTGTTTTAAATGTTGTGCCTACCTGTGATTTAAATGGGACTATTTCAAATAAATCACATCTCTTTGTTAATATTTAATACTAAAACTTATTAATTATTGATTAACATACCCCTCTAAGCAGTGACCTGCGGTGACCACCCAATGTCTTGAAATGATTGATCCACCGCACATTGGATAACCCTCGTTTACTTGTACAATATAAGGAATATCATAAATTGTTGTAGAGCTTCCTCCTACAATTCTGGTAGATGGTTCTGCTAGATCCGATTGAGGAGGAGAAGCTATAGAAAAACTCAATTATGTATAGTATATTTAACGCTAAATGCTATACAGTATGTAATTTACCTAAAGCAAAAGGCGCAAAGGCAGCAAATATTAGCACGCCTATCATCTTGGTAGATACACATACAAATTGTCTGGAAATATCGTAGAAGTCTTTATAAAGGTGTTTCTTATCTAAGTATTTATGATGAGACTTTTTTATCAGATCATTTGTAAAATATTCTGAGGACCTGTAGTAATTGATACACTTTCATAGCTAATTTTCTAAATTTGTTTGTTAATTTCACTAAGGCAACCACTGGAATCCCAACTGGGAAAGATCTGCAATTCTAGGTAATATCCAGTAAAGTGGAGGAATATTATTATGGTCTGGGAGGGGGGAGGGGTCTTTCAGCGTTTGTTAGCATCTGATTTTTCAATTTGCTTTGAATTTGGAGTCTGTTAACGTATTCGATGCTCCAACGGGCGATGCGAAATATTTTTCACGTCCGGGTGATGAATTGAACCATCCAATGAAAACGAAATGTGTGCTGGGACACATCGTAGAAGTGAAACTGCAACGGACAAGTAGAAAAACGAATGGCGACGGACAAGTGGAAAAACGAATGGCAACAAAATTTTTACTTGAAATTTTACGGCAGGTTATCAAATTGAACAAGTACATTAACAATATGCCCGTAAAATTTGAAGTAAAAATTTTGTTGCGATTTGTTTTTCCACTGAACTTCCGTTGAAGTTTCACTTCTACTATGTATCCCAGCACACATTCCGTTTTTAAAAGGTTTACTGCAAATTATGATTTGATTTTTACACAGACCGCAAATAGAGGCAGCCACGTGGAGAGCAGAGGTAAGAAAACAACAGCTGAGCACAACACACGCCGCCGGGACTCTAGCGGACTCTCTGCTCTGCGCGCAGCTGCGTATTAAATCCATCTAATACAGCCTCTGCAACCTCTCAGCATGCGATATACCATCTAGTTCCTACACGCGGCCGTAACGCGTTTTCGTGACAGAAAAAATCGTAATACCCCGTCTATATAGAAGTTTCACTTCAGAAAGTGAGAAAGGGTTAATGAACATAGACTATTAGGATTGGAAGATAACTAAGAAAAAGGACGGAAAATTAAATTTGCTGTACGTAACGCGCCTTTTAAATGAGCCTTAATTGGTTTAATATCGGCTTCCCACAGTCCAATTAATCCGTTCATATGCTAAATTGTTATTAATTTTTTCGTTTAGGTAGCTAAAAATTAATGAGTTTAGTAGAAAAGCAGACAAATAACAGTACAACACTTTGTCAATGCAGTTTCTTTGGTATGCTCGTCTATGATTAAGAAAGCGGCATAATCAATAGCGCGGCGGACAAGATTTTGAATTCTGGTAAATCTCCCATTTGATGTTCTGTACATTTCGAATTTGTAATTATTGAACTTATGCAGCTTCTAACAATAATCATAGCGGCATTGGAACAAAAAGTCGTCACTATTTTTATCTAATGTTTGACATCTGCAATGATGTAATCTTATGTTTTCATACCAAAACAACTAATGTGGTAATAATAATTAGGCCGATACTCGAAAGGTTAATTTCAAAAATTTCCATGTATGCGAATAAACCACAATAACCAAGAAAAAAAAATTATTTAATTTAAATATTCTGATTGTATTTAGAATATAAATTATGTGTCTAAATCTGCAAATTTCTTTTAAAAAATGTATATGCTTACAATTTGAATATGAGCGAAATTTAGAATAATGAGAACATAATTTCAAACTTAAAAGGATGACTTGTCTTATTGTAATATTGCATGATTCTTTTTATCAAATCTATAATGGTTTCAAACTAAAAATTACTGTATTTTTAAAGGTACTTTATCATATTTTTCTTTCAAGTATTATTGATTTCAAAATAAATATTTGATATTTTTGATCAGTTTAAGTTAAAGTAACTGATATTGGTAAGTGTTTGCATCTTATTGTATTTGTCATGTCGCAATCGATTAAAATATAAAATTGTTTAAGCTGGAAAAAATTTGGTAGCATATATATAGATAAATTTTTATCATTTGACGTCTGTGAATACATAATTGTAGAGGGATTAGAATTACGACAGATATATTATATTAAAAGAACTATATAAATG